CTCAGGGGGCAGGGGGCCCAGCTAAGCTCCCCAGCTGCAGCAAGTGTTGATTTTGGGGACACCCTCAGCCCCCCAGCAGGTTCACTCTGCTCCGGGGCAGATGCTCTCGGAGCTGCCGTGGGTTTTTTTTCAGGAACCACGGCCCACGAGTGGCAAGGAAGAAAGATGAGGTTTTGCACCCACCATACTGGATTTAATTAGCATTTGCAATTAGCAGAGGCAGCAGAGAAGACTCAGGCTGCCAGGAGCTGGGACATTGTACCCCACCATCCCATGCCCTGCTTGTGCCAGCCTCGTGCCCGCCTCCACAGCCAACAGACTCCAGGATGGATCTTCCCCCAGTGCTGGCAGGGTGGTGACACTCCCAGACTGGTGGGGATGGAGAAACCCACCGCTTGCCAGAGCTGGGAAGGCTTTGGGACAGTCCTGGAGAGCTCCTGGAATGGCTGCAGAGCAGTTTTTTTCCCCCCCAATTTCTGGGTGGCTGAAAGCATCTGGCTCCTGGTTCTCCTGGGCTGGAGCTGCCACTCTCTGGTTTGCACTGGTGAGGCAGCAGGACACAAAAGCAAAGCCAGCACCTGTGTCCCTGCCGAGCAGCCAGGAGAAGGACAGGCAGGGAAGCAGCCCTGGAGTAAAAAATTTCCAGGTGCCAATCAACTGAAGGAAGGGCAGGCGAGGGGCCAGGGGAAGCACCATCCCTCCCCTCTCAGCCCCACCACCATGGGAGATGTCGATGGCAACGATGAGATGGGCAGCGTCCCGCCAGAGCCAGCAGCAGCGTTTTCTCTCACAGAGGTGGCAGGAGGACAGGGCAGGAGTGGTGCCCACAGAGAGCTCTGAAGTAGGACAGAACACCTGAGCTGCCCACCCTCCCCACGGGCCTTCGTGGCCTCCTACCCCAGCAGGAGGTTGTGCTATTTAAACACAGCGTTCCCAATTCCAGCGTGTTTCTCCCCATTGCTACGCACAAGCACTCTCCGAGAGACAGTCCTGTCCTTCTGCCATTTTGAGATCCCCCCTCTGCCCTTAAATGGAGCTGGTTTGATGGAGCCCTCCAAGATGGCAGAAACTCCCACCCCCCTCCTGCCAGGGTAGAGGCAGGGGGAGGCTGCCCTCTCCATCCTGGCTCAGCCCCAAAGTCCTGGGGCACCCTTCTGCCACACAATCTGCATTTAACTCTCTCTGCCCCCTGCCAGAGAGAGTTGCCACTCTGTGCATCATCCTGCAGCCACTGCCTAACCAACTCCCACCTTGGGCTGAGCTGTATCCAGCCTCCTGCCCAGCTCCAGGCCAGGGGAGAGCCACTGCCAAATTAATTTCTTCTGTTAATGGGAGCTCAGAGGTGCTAAGAGCAGAGAGCATCCCACAGGCAGCAGGGAAGTAGATGTACAGATGGACTGCACCAGAGTGAGGAGGGCTGGGGCAGCACACGAGACACAGGTTTACACACTGCGCCAGCACCACACAAAGGAACTGCTGGGGCCTGCCTAGAGTTTTGTAGGATTTTTATTATTTTTTTTTATTATTTTTGTGGGGTTTTTTTTATACAGGCTAGCGTTGTACCCTTTGCTAAAGCTGCTGATTCTGCCACATAAACTAGAACAGAAATTTCTCAGAAATTAAGTCGGTTCCCCTCCTTGTTAACTCACTGTCTGCCTCTCCCAACTGAACAACAGTCTGGATTTGTGTTTGCAGAAAACATTCCCTGTACAAAGTCTGACGTGTAGCTACACTGTTCTGACTGAGGAATGAAGAAGCCGAGAGTCCATTGAACATTGGATTTTTCCCTGTACAACGTGGCCTGGTTTGGAGTTTGGTCCACCGAGGACAGCGAGTTAACCGTAGAGATCATCGTCATTGTCTTCACTGTACACGTTGCCCCCGCTGCCGCCTCCTGTGCCTTGGCTGGGACCAGCGCCGCCCTGGTTACCTGACGGGAACCTGCACAAAGAAGGGGAGAGAAGAGATGCTGTTCAAAATCCTCCTGGCAGCTCAGCCCCATCCCCTCCCTCCACACCAACACCCTGGTGCCAAGTAGGACAGGCAGGAGAAACGGGATGAAGCCTTTAGGGCAGGTCATGCAAAAGGCTCACAAGGCTGCTGCTTCTGTTACAGGACAAAGAGCTGATGGACTTCAGCAGCGCTAACCGAGCGGTCACAACCACCTACACCCACCACGTTGTGTACTGGGTGCTGTACACACTGGGGAGAACGGGAAAGTGTGGTGGAAGAGGGGTTTGTTATCCAGAATCCGGCAGAAAGCTGCCTCAGTGCTCTGCTCTGGGGCTGGCTGAGCCACGCTGCCCTCCCCCAGCTCCCCCACAGTCACCTGAAGCTGCCGAAGCCACGGCTCTGCTGTAGAGTCTGTGCAAACATCTCGTATTTCCTGATGTCGTTGTCGCTGACAGAGCGGCGAGCAAAGCGCATGGCCTCCTCAAAGTGATCCCTGCGTATCTCAGGAACTGGGTCCTCCTCCTCCACCTCCTGGCGTGGGACAGAGGGCCCAGGTGAGCTGTGTGCCTGAGTGCCACCGCCCAACGGCCACCCCACAGCCTCCCTCCAGGCCAGGATGCTCCAACATCAGCCAAGGCAGGGGTTGGAGGGGAACGCTGCGGCTGTACAGGAATGCTGCAGCAGACCCCTTGTCCCCATCCAAGGATTAGAGAGAGGAACACACATCACACCTGACACAGGTGAGCAGGAAGAGCTCAGCGTGCCCCACTCACCATGGCAGAAGGGTTGGTCTGCCTCTCACGTTCTCGCCTGATCTCACTCTCGATGGACTCACGGATGGCCAGTTTACAGGCACGCTGGCAAATTTCTGTCAGGTCAGCTCCAGAAAAGCCATTGGTCATCTTAGCTAGGAAATCCAGGTCGACATCCTAGTAGGGGGAAATAAATAAATAAATTTTAAAAATCTCCTTAACACCTTACAACCTCAGGTGATACAGAGGTGTCTTCAGATCCCACGGTACCAAGGCACTGCCTTAACTTTGTCCCATTTTGAAAAGATCAGCTGTTAAGGTTCGTGTTTCTGGGAGAAGTTAACCACACATGAAGTCAGGCTGCTGTCCCACACCTACCAAGAATCCACAAAGCGGCTGCAAATGCCTCTGCACTTGCGGATTTAGGATACAATTTACTCAGGTCTCAGCACCAGGAGTCAAACAAAACATTGTCATACTGGAAACAGAGATGGGGCACAGACAGACCCAGACAAGCAACCTCCTCCTCCTTCAACTGAGGGGGCAGTACTGCAACCTCCTTTGGAGTTTTCTTTCCCAAGAGAAGCTAAAAAGGAAAGCTTGGCATAAAAAAGCTTGTGCTCTCACTTGACATCTGCTTTTCTCTGATTAACTATTAGTTGTGCTATTCCCTGCTCCCTGGGCAAGGGACATGGCTCTTGCCTGGGACAGAATTCAGCAACAATTAACTGCAGTGGTTCCTCTTCAATTTCCATTTCCAGCCCTATGTTCTACATTTTTTTCAGAGTAGAAGAGTCTTTTCCACCTTGCCACTACAGGCTTTCCTGTTCCTGCACCACGGGCAGAACTCCACTACGTGACAAAGACCTGCTGTGCTTACATGATGACACCTAGCTTTGTTGATACCTGGTCTCAGAGCTCAAGCCTCCTGCCACCTCTTCATTTCCATCCCTCAAGGGACTGCAGGTTCCCAGCTCTGTACTGTGTGAAGCAGCCACCACCCCTCTGCTGGCTCCCCAGCTTGTGAGGAGCAACAGGCAGCACACAGCAAACCCAAGCCTACAAATGTGGTCAGGGTGAAAATCCTACCTTGGCAACTGGTGATTTCCTCAGGTTGGCCTTAAGAATAGCAACCCGGGACTTCTCGTCAGGCAAGGGGATGTAGATGAGCTGATCCAGGCGGCCGGGGCGCAGGATGGCTGGGTCAATGATGTCTGGCCTGTTGGTGGCACCAATGATGAAGACGTTCTTCTTGGTGGACATGCCGTCCATCTCTGTCAGGATCTGGTTGATGACACGGTCTGCAGCACCGCCGCCGTCGCCGATATTCCCACCTCGAGCCTTTGCGATGGAGTCCAGCTCATCAAAGAAGAGCACACAGGGGGCTGCTTGGCGGGCCTGCAAAAACCACACGGGAACAGTCAGTCCGTGTTAATACCCCCCAGTGAGGAGCATGCTGACTTCATATTAAACCCACCCTACCATTAAAGCAGCTCAGAGGAGTACTGAAGCACTGCTGCTGCAAGGAGAGCTTGGAGGAGCTGCTCCAGAACAGTCTGCTGCCACACAAACCCTCAATTAAATTCCCCTGAACAAGAAGCTGAATTTCCCCAAACTGGGAGCGTTGTGAACCAGGCAGAAGGGTGGAAGCTCCAATGCCTAGAGGGAAAGCTGGAGCCAATATGCCCAGACTAGAACTCTCCCTGCTAAACCTGGAGACATCAATTAGTTATTTAGGCACTCAAGAATCAGTATCAGGTGAGACAGATCCAATGGAAGGGGGAAATCCAATGGCTGTCTTCAGCTACCTAATGGGGAGGGAAAGGTGAGTCAGATCTTTCTTCAAGGTGTGCAGTGAAAGGATGAAAGACCACAGGCGTAAATGTCCACCAAGAAAATGCCAGTTAGAAATAAGGAAAAAAAAATTCTTCACAATGAGGGAACTCAAACACTAGCACACAGGTGCAGAGAGGTCAGGGATTCTCCACCCCTAGCACAGGTTCAGAACACACAGCACTGAGCAACCTGATTGAATTTCCAAGCTATCTCCCTCCTCTGGACAAACAGCTGGACCAGATGCCTCTGAGGTTCCCTCACAACCTAAATTTTCCTCTCACTCTCTTTCCAGCTTTGCTCTTTCAGCACCTTCCCTGACCACAAGAGTGAGGATTCCCTAGATAATCCACACAGATACCTTCTGGGACAGGAGGTGACACCATCTACAGGGCAACTGGGCAGCAGGAGTGAGCTCCTTTCTAAGCCATGTATCTTACAGGACAAGAGCCCGTCTGAAAATCTGTAGGCTGATGGCTAACGAGGTGTCGATATAAGTTTTCAGGGATGTGGAGGATATCTATGTCATCCTAATGCCAGTCTCACTACTAAGGCACTGGTGCATTTATCATCCTGTAATAACAGATGCAAATTGTAAACAGAGAAAACATTCACACAGCTGTGCTGCTGAAGAGCATTAACTCCTGACATCAGGGAAGCAGGCCCTGCTCTCAGTGCAAGTGGGGAAAACACAAAAGACACAAACAAGAACGAGGCCAGTAAGACAGACAGGGTGGAGACAAAAGTTCTGAGGGTACCTCAGCACAAACACAGCACAGGGAGGAGAATAAAACACCTACCTTGTCAAAGATCTCACGCACGTTGGCTTCAGACTCCCCAAACCACATGGTGAGCAATTCTGGCCCCTTGATGGAAATGAAGTTTGCCTGGCATTCGTTGGCAATGGCTTTGGCCAGCAGCGTCTTACCACAACCAGGTGGCCCATAGAACAGAACCCCTTTCGATGGGGTCATGCCAAATTTGAGGAACTTGTCTGGGTGCTCCACAGGATACTGAAGGAGAATGAAACAAACAAACAAAAAAACCTCTTGTGAAGAGACAGAACAGGCCTGTACCTTAGAACCACACAATGGTTTGGGTGGAAAGGGACCTTCAGAGATCATCTAGTCCAAACCCCCCGTCATGGGCAGGGAGATCTTTTACTAGATGAGTTTTGTTTCTCCTCCTACCAGAAACACTACCTGAGATTTCTGGTGGATTAAACACAAGATCCTGCCTGCTCAGTGCCTCTGGACTTTTAAAATGGACAGTGGTCTGAAAAGCTTAAATTGGAAAGCTGCCTTAAATAACCTCTTTACCTCTAAGAACTAAGTACCAGTTCAGGTAGTTTTCCAGCACACTTAACCCCAACTTCACTCTGCCCTGCAGAAGCAAAAGGGAACAGCTCGTTATCCAACCTATTTGCTCTGCTCTCCAGAGACACACAAGGTGTCTGATGTGAGCATTTAATCTCAGCAATGAGGGCAGAGACAGGTGACGATTTTAACATCAGAAAATTACAATGAAAATTAGATTCTTTTATTCGCTGGCAGGGTGCTTCTACAGCCCCAACAGAAAGCAGGGATGTATCAAACCCAAACCATCCCAATGCAGGCACCAGAAGTTTCCACAGGCCACTCAAGACTTTTTGTCCCAGCCTCTCCCTTCACAGAAGGCTTCACAATTACTCAATTACTTCTCATCTGTCCCTAGGCCAATGCTGATGAAAAGCCCTTGGGAGGCTCCTCTGTGTGAGAATCTTCACCCACTTCCTGGCACATAAAGCCAGAACGTAAGGAGATTCTCAGCACTGGTCCCACTGCTGGTCTCCACTTAAGAGAAGCAGAACTGCTGCTGTTTCCACACGTAGCACAACACCCACCCAAGATGACACTGTAGACTCAGCTAAGGAAAGCCTGATGCTGCTTCCCAGCACCTTCCTCCCCAAGTTCACCAAGATGGAATGGCATGGTATTTTTAGTCCATTAGACACAAATATCATGAAAACCTCTGTGTTTTCCCTGTTTACAGCCCAAACAGGAATCTGAAGAAGTTCTGGATTTTATTATTATAATTGTTTTTCAAGCTGACTAGGCACAGATCTGTTGGAAACCCCTTACCTGTACAAGCTCCTGGAGTTCTCTCTTTACATCTTCTAGACCACCAATATCTTCCCAGGTAACTTGTGGCACCTCCACCACAGTCTCCCGAAGAGCAGAAGGGTTGCTCTGGCTCAGAGCCCACTATCGTTAGAAGAAATGGCATTATATGAATTCTAACGTGTTATGTTCACTTGCTTCAGATAAACAATTAGATATTGCACCCAAAAGAAAGAGAGGCACTCCTGCATTACCCTGAAGTCATCCATGGTCACAGCCAGCGAGTTCATCACTTCGGCATCGATGGTTTCATCTTCTAGGTCTATGAGATCCATCTTCTTTCTGATAGCCTGAAGAGCAGCTTCTGAGCAAAGAGCAGCCAAGTCAGCACCAACATGGCCATGGGTCTCGTTTGCCACCTGAAAGCAGAGCACTGACTATGACTCACAGGGATACACGCAAGCGCTCTGCAAGGGCAGTGTATGCTCTGGTCACTCACTGGGAGGTGCAACAAAGCTCTGGAGGACAGGAACATCACTGCTCTGCAGCGGATTCAAGACAAGTGCTACCACATATTTAACAGGCAAAGATATCGCTGTTACACCTCCTAATTGAGATCAAAGCTGGTGTACGTAAAGATAACCCCGAGGACTGCAGTTCTTCATTCAGGACAGGGATTACAGGAACCATCCAGTTTACACGTGGTGTCCACTGTCACCACAGTGGTGATGTTTCAGGCTTGCTTTACTTTGAACGAGAATGCCACAGCAAACACACCCAGGAAGAGAGTGGGGAGGCACTTCCAGACTGGACTTAGCCATGCTATCTTAACTAGTGAGTGAGGATTTCTGGTCACTGGTAAGCCAGCCAGAAAGAAGCCCAGAGATCTCACATTCACCCAGCCTCATGCTGTCCTAAATGAGGAACTACATTTATGCGATCAAGCCTTAACAACTCTTCCACTACAAAACAGAGCAGAGACAAGCTTTCCTGAGAGCACACTAACTCACCTGTTCCAGATCCACATCGTCAGCCAGTTTCATATTTTTCGTGTGGATCTGCAGGATCTCCAGGCGCCCGGTGGCATCTGGGATACCGATATCTACCTCTCTGTCAAAACGACCTGGGGAGTACAAAACATCTGTTGAGCTCCTGATTTTGTGAACTACAGGAGATGCAGTGGCTGCCTTCCTTTCCTCTGACTGAACAACACGACGACAAGCCACCAGTGCATACAATTTCAGAAAATTTGGGTTTCAGATTTCAGAAGCTTTGGGTTTCTCTGCAGCATCTATTGGCACAGGAGCAGAGTCACATCAGAGAAGGAAAAAACACTTGAGCCATTCAGGAAAAGGGAGACTACTGTATTAACTGGAGTTCAAGATTATATGACACAGGACTGCGTGTTTAGTAACTTTTTCTGAACCTCATTTACAGGAAAACATGTTTCCCCAAACCAACACACCACGAGTCCACAAATGCTGAGATTTAATTTTTCAGAACTTTCACCCAAGGTGCAATGGTGCTGCTGAAATGGTGAAAAACATGAATTGCCTCAATTTGTGGAGAGACAGGAAACTAGGTATTCCTGCAGTATTAACTAAGGTTTGTACAGCTGTCATTTGCCTTTAGCCATAGCTGTGCATTCACATTTAAGAATTCGTTCTCCCCTGCAAACCTGACTGGTTTGCTACTACAGACTTTACCAACTGGTCATACACCAGACGTTTATGCACAGGGCAAAATTTCAAAAATCTGAATCTCAGAAACTACTGGACTTCTCATCAATGAAAGAAAGAGAAATCAGGCAATTCAGAGCCTTCTGCAACCTCGTGCATAACCATCACCTTAAGCATTTACTCCTTCAGTGTGTCCTGAAAGAGCTTCACCTAACACACTTTTCCACTTCGAAGTACTTTTTTATTTCTACAAGTTCTAACCTAATACAGCACAGAAAATGACACCAAAGGCTGGAATCCTAGAAATTAATTTCAAACAAGCAGCTGGAGACAAGTCAGTAGTTTATGTAACACACAGAAGAAGTGTAGTATTAATTTCTACTCAATCCTTCCAAGGCCCCTGAAGCGTAGCCTGTAACAAAAGTATGTGATACACAAAAAAAAAGAGACTGAAAATCACGGTTACCGAATCGCCTGAGTGCTGGGTCAATGCTGTTAGGCCTGTTGGTAGCTGCCATAACAATCACGTGCGCTCTCTGCTTCAGCCCATCCATAAGAGTCAACAGCTGAGACACTATGCGACGTTCCACCTCTCCGTGTGTCTATGGAGAGAGACAGCAGAGGTGAGAACAAAAGATCAACAACACAGCACAGGACCCAGTGCTGCCCCAGAGCAGACAGATACAACAGCCACGACTTGTTTACAAACATAGAATCACAGAATGGTTTGGGTTGGAGGGGACCTTAAAGCTCATCCAGTTCCAACCCCCCTGCCATCAGCAGGGACACCTTCCACTAGACCAGGTTGCTCAAAGCCTCATCCAGCCTGGCCTTGAACACTTCCAGGGAGGAGCAGCCACAGCTTCCTTGGGCAACCTGTGCCAGTGTCTGACCATTCTTCTTGCATCCAGCTGAAATCAGGCACTGAGTTAAATACTGCCCTACCCTGTAGTCAAAGACAGAGATTCGTGCCAGCTGCTACCAAAAAGGATGTAATCCTTCGCCTTCCACAAGCTTTCTTTACCTTCTCTCTTTTAGGAGCAATGGCATCCAGTTCATCAATGAAGATGATGGCAGGAGCATTCTTCTCTGCTTCTTCAAAGGCTTTCCTCAGGTTGCTCTCAGACTCACCAGCCAGCTTGCTCATGATCTCAGGACCTGAAAAATAGCAGCACTGTGGCACCCACAAGAAAGGCAGCTTGCCCCAAGACACACAGCTGGATTTTTTTGGTTTTTAGTACAACATTCACATGGGACAATCTATACTTCAAGCCAAAGCAAATGCTATCAACCAAGTCCACTAAATTTGCAGCTGACCAGGCAAGAACAGCATACAGAATTACTTTCTGTCATAATTCTGGTGTTTTCAGTTTACTCTAAATAGAATGCAGCGCTAATCAAGGAGCTACCTTTAGCTGCCTCTTCCTTCACCCTATTTCACACTTGGTGAGCTTCTCTGTAATGTGTCACCACACACTGTTAATGCCAGTCCTAGCTTGCAAGAGAAGCAATCAAATTATATGGTAAAGAATTATCAGGGTAGGGAAGGAAAAAGCTCTAGGATACTGAAGCTGCCTTTAGCTTACATTGCAGAGCTATACATTTGCCTCTGCAAGATACAATAAATGAGTTAAAAAACCCCCCAAAAACCAGCACAAAACCAAACCCAAACCACATCTCCTCTCAAAGAATAAATAAAAAAAATAAAAATGTGTAAGCACATCAATCCCAGAAGGAAGGACAGCATTCCCCCGAGATCTCCTTCAGCAACTGCTGAACACTAGTGCAGGCTTACAGATTTATTCTGTTTTCACATAGTTTTCCATCATGCTGATGGGACTGGTAACGAAGAGAAAGTAAGCTTCTGAAAGATCCAAGAAAAAGAAACCTGACCCTCAGGAGCACAAAGCTACGAGCTGACCAAAGCACATCAAAGCTGCAGAGCCACTGGTGCTGGCAGGTACTGAGAGTGTCTCATTACAGGTAACTCACCAGTTCACACCAGCTCCTGTCTACAGCACTGCCTGCAGCTCCAGGCTTGGGACCAGCAGACAGAGAACGCTTTGCTAACTCTGACAGGGTTATTTTTATTATGCAATACAAGTGCCTAAAGAAGCGGATGGCTTATTAGCATTCTGTGACAGCTTCCACAGACTTTAGGAAATACATGACAAGGGCGACATATGGTTCAAACCAGCCCATTTACATCTGATATCTTGAGATACAAAGCAAGTCACTTCCCTACTGCTGGTCACTGCTAGGCTGTGCTACCCACTCCTTTCCTATTGCCTTCATGGGTTGGTGATTGAAATTAGAAAACAAAAGCAACTCTCTAAGTAAAAATGTTCAGTTATTCCAGCACTGACTGTAAAATGGGATGGAATAGCAGGGAGGAAAATTCAGAACTTGGTCCTTACTGGACACAAACCAGTATCCACCTCAACTGATGCAGGTGAGAGTTATCAATAAGAGGTGCAGAACCTCCACTTGTAGCTAAGTCCCAATGTACCCATTAGAGCTTTCAGGGAAGTTCCTCCCAATTAATGTCATGTGAAACAAAACAAGTCTTGAGCTTTACTTGAGGGAAAAGAGAAATCCACAGCAGACCAGCTTCTTTTCTGAATGCAACGTGCGGAAGCAACAGAATTAAGCGTCCTGCTCCCATATACATAGAACAATCGCAGCACTTCACTCCCAGCTCTGCCCTCAGCAACATAAACAAACACCCAGCCAGCCATACTCCATGTCCCTGTGTCACAAACCTGTCTTCCAACCACCCTGTTGCAACATAATCAAGCCTAAGGGAAGTGCCTCTACAGATGCTTCCACACAAATAGCCTCCAAGTGTCCCCTAGAGGCATGCTTGAAAGAGGTAAGGAAGGATGTCAGGGAGACAACGTGGCTCTACCAGCCTCCTTAACACCTTTCATTACAGAATCAATCACAGAATGTCAGGGATTGG